TTAAATTTCACAGAAACTTTGAGTAGTCTTGTGCCTATTGTAACTGTTCAATATTTAAATTTCTGAGATATTATCCTCCTCCTTTATTTTTCATACTGTTCTTAAAAAAGGCAAAAAAACAAAAAGAGACATTTCTCAGAATAGTTCTGGGTCATTCCTTCTTTTTACCTGAGTCTTCCTCTCCCTGGTCTCAATTTGTTATTCATCTTCTCTTTTTTTGGCTTCAGCCTCCCACTGAACTTTTAATACAGTGCTGTCTGCTTTATGAGTCAGGATTCACAAAATCAGAAGGACTATTTCAAACAATTTGCTGACTTCCTCCAACTCAGAGGCTGTTAGACTCCTTAAGATTAATGTTTAAGTGGTTTAAAGTCTATCTAAGAACCAATCTTAATTTTATAATTTCCTGTGATGGAGAGCCCACTTCAGACTGAAAGGTTGTTGATTGTTAGTTGCTGTCATGTCTCAAAATTAATGAATTAATTAAAGAACACACTTGATTTTTCACCTTATTTAACTTCCTACTCCTGCCTGGCAGACCGTAGGGACATGTTTGACCTGCACAAACTCAAATTTCCTATGATCAAGGAAAGCACTGAGGTTTCCCCCCCAAAACTCTTGGGTGAACTGTCATAATTCTCAATCCTTGTAATTAATTTCCTGGTTCATTTGTGAGCTTTTTTAGTTTACAGTGCATCAGTATCTTCTTGGTATGGACATTAAAACTGGATGCTGTGTGAACGTGGTGGGGAATAAGCTTGTCTGAAAGATTTTAAAGTGTCCTTTCAGTAACTGATGAGATTATTTCTGGTCTGGCATTTATTTCAGTTCAGAAAAAGGGGTAATTATTTATTCTAAGAGGAGTTGTTATCATGTGAGTTGTTAAAAAAAATCCAGTAAAAAAAACCTCCGAAGTAATAATCCAAGATTAACACAAGTTAAATTGCCTCTACAATCTTAGCAATGTAATGTACCAGAGCAGAGCAACTCTGAAAGTAGAGCAACAGTCCTGCCATCTGCACTGATTTTTGTGCATAGAGATACTCTGAGGAACACTGTGCTGTAAAGACAGACAGAAATGTCAATTACCAGCCTAGTGAAATTATTGCTTACAAGTGAAAACTTGAGCTCAGGTAGCTGAACTTAGCTGTAAATGAATTCCCTTGAATTACTTAGTAAGACATCAAAGTATTGCCTTCTATACCTTTAGTAAGACATCAAATATCTGTGTTTTATACCCAGATGCAGTTCAGCAGTAAGCAGTGAACCACACAAGGCAGGACAAATTCATTCTGCACTGTTTCACTGCAGCCTAGCAAAGAAAACTCAGTCCCAGCCATCATAACGTGCCTGTTGATCCAATGATGCAGAATTTCTTTTTCGTTTTGAACTTTTACCAGGAAAGTTTATAATTTATATATGGAGTAACTCTCATTCCTTGGGCCAAAAGGGCCAAGCAGTCTTTGTTGAAGCAGGCACCTCTGGTTTGCTGACCAATTTGCTGCTCAGCTTAATGAACCAGGATCTGCCTGATTTGATTTTGCCAGTGTTTAGCAGCCTAATACATCTGCCTGAAGTATTTACACATTAGGTAGTCAAGATGTAGTTCAGCCAAAGGCTCTCTGGGAGAGTGGGATGGAAAGGCCCCAAATTAGATTTGCCTCAAGCTACTGTGGCAGCTCGTGTAGACAGAGATGAATTTTGAAGCAAAGAAAGCCAAAGTGATTTTGTTTAACCATTTTCCTCACTTTTAAATAAGCTGGCGTATAATATCACAATTTGTTTTGGTTTTCCTCAATGAAAATTTTGAAGTCTTTAACTGCCAACCAGGAAGATTTATGGAGGTTATTTGGAGGTTAAAAAAGCCCCAAATCTCACTATTCCTAACATCTTTTAACCACCATGCATTCAGTCCTAAGAAAAGGTTAGCACTATAATTTTACAATCAGCATCATTATTCTGCTTCCTTCTGATTGTAGTGCTATTTTGGCTACTCAGCTGGGGTAAAAAATTGTAGGAAAATCAGCCATACACATCTCAGTTAAATGTGAGTATTGTCTGTAATTGAGAGGGATATTTGATAATGTATTGTGAGTGAGATAGGTTTGGGGCAATGTATATTATTTATTGAGATTCCTTGCATATCCCAGACTTTTGGCATTGTGAGAATTGTTATGAAACATAAAAAAATAGAGATTATCTACATGTTTTGTAATGAACACAAAGGGGGACAAGCCCTTACATTTCTTACTACATTAGGAAGGACTGTGCTTTTTTTTTACTAAGGTCCTGTTTCCTTTGATGCCTGTTCAACACTGTTTTGTTTAATGAGATAACTTCTTCAGTGCATGTTCTCTAGCACTTATTTAATAGGATATCTGTTTTCTCTGTTGTCTTTTAAATCAGAAAGCAGTTTAATTGTTCAGTTTGGGTGGGGCTGTGAAATGGGGATGGGATGTACCCTTGGATTGTGGCTCTTTCTGAGGCCTCTGGGATTTCAGCAAGGGATTGTTGCATCCAAATTCAGGTTTGTTTGGGTCTCAGTGAAGGGAGATCTTTGAATTTTCTTCTTTTCATATTTTTATGCACTTATACAGCCAAATACACAACGTGCAGCCCTGTTCTATGAGATATATGAAAAGCTGTGCTGGAATCAGCTGGGCCCTGGCTGCTCTCAGCTTTGGTGTTTGAAAAGGGGCTACATCCTGAAGTACCTTGTTCTGTTAAATATTAGTGAGCCAATACAGTGAATGTGGGTCACTAAAGATAACTGAAGATGCATTATCTGCCTCGTGTGTTGTGTCTGGTAAATAGCTGGTTCCTGTGGGAAGCACCTGAAAAGGTAGAGTTTTTGGTAGCACATAAATTCATTAAACAAAGCTCCATCACAGCAAACTCTAACATCAGTCTTCGAAGAAGGATAAAAGAGAAGGAAGAGATTCAGACAGCTTTTTCCTTTTGTAAACTCGCTGCTTTATAGGGGAAAAAATAGCTGGAAATAGCCTGTCTCGTCCCAAATGAAAGGTTGTGGATTAAGGCTTTGCATTAGTGAAACAGCTGCACCAATGTGAATCAGAAAGTCCTCCAGCTTCAGCCATTATGGGTTTGTTTGCTTAGGTCTAATTTTGGAAGTCATTATAGCAAAGGTAAATGACTTGCACAGGAGACTACTGTAAACAAAAGACTCGAATACATTTACTTTGGCATGAGCCTTGAGGAGTCTCGGGCCTTTCAGTGCCTCCTTTATGCGGGGCCTGTCCTGCTCTCACTGCGTGCCTGTGTGCAGGCAGCTCTCCCTCCCTGCCTGCCTGCCTGCCTCCCTCCCCTCTGACAGCTTCTCTCCCCCTGGCAGGTCGGATTTAAGAGTGGCAGCACCTGCTGCTGAATTGCTGGTGTGTAGCCGTGGAATACCTTTATGGTAGCTGCCCCTGGCTTTCTAAAGGTGCTGTGTTTTGCACAAGTAAGAATCTGCTCCCTCCCAGTGCAGTACTGGAATACAATCTGTGTTCAAAAACTTCACTTTTCATCGTGTCTCCTTATTGGTTGCTTTTTGTGTTTTCTTCTTTTATCGTTTAATAGCTTTACACTTACAGATTCTAAGCATGCTGATGCTTAGCTGAGTTTTCTAGCTTTTTGGTGAAGATTGAACTATGAGAATGATAATTCCCTTCCCAGATCTGTGCCCGTGTGGTTGAGTGAAGGCTCTGTCCATTCCACACTGACTTACACTTGTGTAGGTGGGGAGGCAAATCCTGATGACAGAACGAGTGCCCATGCAGAGCCTGCTCCTTCCTTTTCACAAAGCTCATCAACAGTAAGGTTATATAGCTGCATTTTAAAAAGTTTATACTCATGGGAATTAGTGTATTCCTGATATTTTATGATTTGCTGTTCCTCTTAATTAATGTCTGTTGTGAAAGATGTTTTATGTCCTTTCTACATATCAGAACATGCTTCAGGTGAGACATTCTCAATAAAATTGACTGTGGATATTATCCTGTTTTATTTTAAAAAGGAGTTTTTCTAACTCTTCCCAGATTTGTTGAATTTAGTAAACACTCCAGGTAAGTACTAAAACCCTTGGTGTTGGCAGGGAGGTCTCTGGGAACTCCCACTGAGCTTTCTGCTTCTCGCCCCCAAACCTTTGGATAAATACAGAGTATGTGCAGTCCCAGGAGCTCTGTCTCACTTCTCCAGCTGTGGGAAGCTGAGAGGAGACTCTTGGGGTGTCCCCAAATGCTGGTACTTGAAAGAATCTGTATTTGTTATTCTAAGCTCAGACAAAACTGAGTGTGTGTTATGGCAGGACCTGCCCCTGGGCTCCCTGTGACAGGGCAGGGAGGGCAGGGTTGTGTTCTTGTTTTCTTCATACTGCACAGGCCAGAGAAGGCTCAGAAAGGGATTATTTAAGTCTGTGAGGAAATACAGCTGCAACTGGAGGAATTTGCTGTTTAAGCCAGTTTCTTTTTCAGAGTTTCTGTTGCTATAGCCACCTTATTCCTAGTAGAACTGCTGGAAAGGATGGAAGTGGAAAAAAAAATTGGGCAGTTCTTTGTGCATTCCTTGTGCAACAGGTGCAGTGCTCATTTGTGAGTGCAGACTGAGCTGAATCTCCTTCCATGCCCAGAGAACGCCTGCAGGCAGCACCTTCCACGAGAACCTGGGATTTCTGCATTTCATATCTCCTGGAGAGATGCCAAGCAGAATTTAATTGCTTGTGGTGAAATCTTTCTCTGTGGCTAGATAGGATATTGAATGCTTTTGAACTTCTAAATTGCCATGGGACGGCCTGATCGGGCACGGTTGTGTGTAATCTGCAGACAGATGATGAAAGATAATTCATCACACAGAGTTCTTTGATGCACTTCTTTGTTTTATAGATACGAGGCTTAACTGGAGGGCGAGGAAGGGAGTAACACAATAACAATTGCAGTAACACACACATTTGTTTTTCTGTTTAGTAAATTGACAGATGTTTGGTTTGTCTTGTGTCTGCCCAGGACAGCACGTCTTGTCTCCTGGAGAAGCTGTTGGGAAAGGTCTAACGCCAGACGCTGCGAAAGATCTCGGTCTCCCCGCAGGGATTGCAGTGGCAGCATCTCTCATTGATGCACATGCTGGAGGACTAGGTACTCACCCATGGATTTGCTGTTCTTGGAGATTGGAATTGTTGACTTAATTTCAGAATGCCAGTTTTGTCACAGACTGCTTTTCTCCAGCCATTTGCTCCGATGCTATTCTTAAAAAACACCAAATCAAAATCATCACAATAACTACTAGTGCTACAAATCTGTTTCCAGAGAGGGAATATATCATTGTTATATGTCTTTTCAGCTGGATTTGCAAATTGTATGTTAATTTCTGCTTGTTTCACTTTTGACTGAAACACCATGGTGTTGGAATGCCAACATGCTGAGAGTTTGCATCTTCTGTTGCTCAAAACTTTGAGGATAGGCAAGGAAAAAAAACAACAACCAAACAACCATTCTGAGGGAGAAGCCTTATGTTTGAGGCTTGTTCATAGTTAGGATTCTTACTAGCTTTAGAAGTGATTCATGATTCAAAGCTTTAAGGTCTGATGCTTTGACTTTTTTTTCTTTTCCAACACAATATTCTGATGTTCAGCCCAGGTTCATCTTTTCTGAAATATATTTGATGGGGCCCAACAAGTTCATTTTCTTATTACGCTGTTTGTCCTTATCCAAATACAGTCTATACCAAAGAGATTCAGTGTAACTTTTTCAGCAGGAAATTGAGGGGTTTTTTAGTTTGGTGGTTTAGAAAACAGCCTTACCTCAGGAAGCTTCAAGTGTTATTGAAACAGTACTCTTTAATGGAAATCTATTGCTCATCAGAGGTTTTTTTCTAGATCTAACTGAAATATGATTAGGTGCTAAAATACCAGTTTTGTTTCAAACTTCTTGTACTGTTTTAAATCTCATTTATCCTTCTAGAAACTGTGGCCTGGAATATTCTTAGTGTTTAAATCCCTTTGCTTTTGGTGAGGTTAATCATGGAGGTTGCTTTTCTTGCTACCTGGAGAGGATTAGATGTAGCTCTGTGTGCAAAAAGGAAGACTGAGCTTCAGTGTCATATTTGTAGGTTTGTTGTGACTGACTTAAAAATATCTGTCAGTATCCTAATTGCATGAAAACATCTTGAAAACTGTGCCCTGGCAATTCTGTATTCTTGGAAAAGAATATAGTGATAATCTGACCTGAAAGAATGTAGTTGCTGCAAAACTGGGTTGTCACAGAGCATGTGAAAGTGGCAGTGGAAGGTCCTTGTTTAATTGGCATCATTATGGATCCAGAGCACAAAAAGTTCGCCCATTTTTTCATGTGCTGAAATCAATCAATTGAATTTTAAAAAGAATAGAGAGCAACTATCTGTTCCTTGATGCAGACTACTGTAAAGAAACTCTGACATTAGAAAGACTCAGCTGCTGGCATCTCTCAGGAAAGAGCTTCAGTGGATAGAGACAGTCTGCTAATCCAAATATGCTTTCCCAGATGGCACCACAAACACCAGCAGACTCCTGAAATGATTGCCAGGAGGAGAAAAACAACGCACAGGTTGTTGTTAGAGAGAGGGGGGCATTACAGAGGGAAGAGTCAGGAGGACAGTGGGAGAACCTGCATCATAATCACACCACAGCTCAGTCACAGCAGTCTGGGACAAGAGGAGGATTTACAGTGGAATTCATCCTTCCCAGAATGACATGGTGGGCATCTTGTTTTCAGTGTTAATAACTTTTGATGCAGTTCAGATCTGCTTTTGGCTGGATGTGAAGTGTGTTTTGGCTGAGCAGGTTCCTGAAGTTTATGAAAGCTTCAAAGTTTTGAATAGAATAAAGTTTTGAGTAGAATAAGGTGGAGAATTGTTTAGTGTGTATGTTTGAGGAGGTCATGTGTGGCTCCTGCATCAGTCTGTCTGATACCTCTTATGGAAAAGTGAGGATCCAAGAAGTCATCTCTTGCATTTTGACCTACTGTACCAATTTCAGAGAGTGTACAGATAAAACTCTGAGGATGGGAGGCCAGGCTTATGGGGCTGGCCTCATAAAAATACTGTTTACATTGCACCTTTTCAAAAGGCATCAGATTGTTTCAACAAAAGGAGATGATTTATGGTGCAGTGTCTGAAATACCGTGTCACTGTGGAAGAGATCCAGAAGTACACATTGCTAAGCACTGCTTGCCTTCCTAAAAATCTGTCCTCTCCTCTGTGTGGTGCACAGACTTCTTGTTCTCAGCCTCAGACTATGAAAAATTCCACTTAAGCTAAAGGTGACAGTGACTTATATCAGCAATTATATAACTTTTAGCCAATATTACAGACTTACTTGCTGTCTGACTTTAATTAATCACAAATAGGAGGACTCTAACAATTCTAAACACTGGTGAAGCCACTGACTAAAATTCCAAAAAGGGCCATAATTTGTGTTTTGCAGAATGTATATTTTCTTAGCAATTAAAAAGATCTCTTCAGTTTTATGTTGTTTATGAAAATACATTTGCAGCATATGCTATCTAGTTTAATAGATTTCTTCCCTTTCAAGTGTGAACAGTATTTTTAACTCAAGAAATTCTAATACAGTCTTGCTTAGTACAGGAATTTGCCTTGTAGACAGCCCTATTCAAAATTCCTAATATGCATTCATAATGTTGAAGGAGTGAAAAAATAAAGCATGAAGTAGAAGGCTTACTTTTAGCTTTTTGTTGTTCCTAACTCTCCTTATGACAGCTGTGCCAATTCATAGTTACAAGTCAGTTTAGTTAAAGGGGCATGAGGATGGATTTTTTAAGGCTGTAACATTTTAGTCCTTAATTTTCTGATTATTTAAATGACTTCCAACCATGGAAATACCAGGATAACCATGGTGATCCCAGTAAGACAAACCCCACCAGACTGATTTGATAACAGAGCATTGCAGTGATGATCTAAACAAGAGGATGTTAATGAAATGTAGGATGTGAACCAGCCCTAACACTTGGCATCTTTCACAATGTCCAGAAAATGTTTTCCTGATCCTTCTACAGGGAAGGGGAAGGGGAAGGGGAAGGGGAAGGGGATTTTTTATTTAATCAGTATTGACATACTGGTCTCCAAACTGAGCTTTGCAGATGGAAATGCACAGTCTGGTGACCAGTTTGCCAGCTGAAAAGTGATATTTAAGAAAAAAAAAGTCCAGTGTAAAAATGTTACTTGTTGGCTGCTGCATTTTTCTGGGTGCAGCACAACGTGGTGCCAGGAAGCAGCCTGGGAGAGGAGGAGGAGGAGAGGGCAGATTCCCTCTGTAGCCTCCCCTGAAGTGAATCAAGCAGGATGGGATGTGTTCTGAGGCTCAGCTGTGGGTCTGGCTTCTCCCTGGCATCTCCTGGGTGTATTTTCTGCTGCAGGCTGAGTGGTGCTGACTTTGTGCTCCGTCCTGTGCTGTCCTGCATGCAGAGGCTCCTCAGAGCCAAGCTCAGCTCCTCCAAGGGGAGGAGTAATCTGCCTTTAGATGGTTCTGACATGGACAGAACAGCAGCAGCAGTGAAGACAACAAAGCTGGCAGCCTTCCAGTCTCCTGCCAAGTTACCCCTTTCTCCGACTCATCCCCTGACAAAACACATCAACCAGGATGTTCGTGATAAACTGTGAACAAATAAACACATCTGCAGCCTGCCAGTACAGCAGGGCACTTTTATTCTGCATCTCAGAGCTACCTAAGAGAATAAATGACTGGTTAAATAACACTTTCTAGGTAAAATAACAATTAAAAATCATGGTGATAGACATGCATTTAGAAGAAATCATCTTGGGTCCTTATATCTGAAATAAGTACTTTATTCTGATGGATAAAATTATTTCCTTTATTGGCTAAGTAGACTTTCTTGATTTGTGGCAGCGATGTGAGATACTCAACAATTTTTTGAGTGCAGAAAAGGTCTGTTTGGTGTAGGGTGGCTTGTTCTTCTTTAACAGAGAATTTTAATTTTACTTTAATAGGAGTAATTGGAGCAGATGTGAAAGGACATAACCTTCCATGTGAGAACCAGCCGATTACATCCCGAGTTGCTATGATCTGTGGAACATCTTCATGCCACATGGGGGTAGGTTGTATGTGTCATCCTAATTTGTGCAGAATTTACTAACTTATGTTTTTGAAGGGAAAATTGACCTTTGTCCTTCTCGCCCCATTCTTTTTTCCTTGACTTTTTTTTCTGGTAACTCTATCTTTACCTTTGGATATTAATTATAAATTACTGTGCATTTGCTATTAAGCAAGAACTTTAATAGTAGTAGAAATCAATACTGAAAAATGACATGGAAAGTAAAAACCACGATGCCAGAGTGGCTTAAAGAGCAGCCTGAAATCTGAGCCAAAGCCTGAGCCTGAGTTATCTGTGACAAGGCTGTCACTAATGTGTTACAGGAGAGTGTGTTTGGAAAAGGAGTGCCCGTCTTCAGTCACAGCCCTGCTCCCCCACCTCTTCCTTTAATCAATATAAATCCTTCTCCCTCTGCAAATTGCCATGGTGTACAGAATTATGAGACATATCATGACTAAAAAGAAAGAAACCCCCCCCCAATAAGCAGTTTTCACTTTGCTAATTTTTCCTCAGTGAATTAATACAAAAGCTTTCTCTGAGATTGCAATTAAAATTTAGTGTCTGCCTTTGAAATTTATACTGTTTTAAAATGTATGAGCCTGAGTGCATTCCATTTAGATAAGTACTCTTTTCTGCCACATTTTTTATTTAAAACTCATTTTGGTCTTAAATTTAGAATTATTAGAACTTGGATTTTTCCAAAAGGAGCAAATGGCACTGGGAGTGCTAGAGGTGTTGGAGAGGACAGACATCCTTCATGGAGAAAGCTCCAGGAGAGAAAAAGAAAGGAGGCTGATAATAAAACATCAAGTTTAACAATAAGCTAAGTTGTCTCTGTAGTAACAGTATGAATCCATGGTGATCTTGAACATGAATAAATGGTGATCTTGTCACACAGATTGTGGTTCAACAAAGCATTTTAGCACGTGATTGAATTTAAAGACATGAATAATCCCACTATTGTGAAGCAGAGCATTGAGCTTAAATCCCGTAGACCAGCTGGAATATATTTTGGTTCCTTCCTAAACAAAAGTTTCAAGCTTCAAACTTCATCACTCTTGGCTGCTCTGTCTTTGAAAAATCCCACTGGTACCTGTCTGTCTGTCACAGGGCAGGTGAGGCACCCTGGGGGAGAAGTCACCCTTCAAGCTTGGCCACTGCTTTCATTATTTCCAGGTTTTTTGATGGAGGTTTCTGCCCTTTCAGTAGAAGCTGTTTGAATGAACTCTTTCTAACCTGTTTCATTTAGCTGAGTTAGTTTAAATTGCTAAAATGAGTTAATAGAGATGTAGTACTGGACTGCAGTGAGCTGAGGAGCTTGCAGGCAGCTTCCCCCAAAGGTCTAAGGGCAATGTTGGGTAGCTGGCAGTGGGCCAGCTGGCTCTGGCTCATTCTTTAGTACAGCCAGCCCTGGAGGAGGACATGTGTGTGGTTATTTATTAATTTTTTGATATTTGTACATTGGTAAGTTCTAACATACACCCAGTTCACAATAGTAGATTGTTTGGCTTCCCAAACTGGAGCATGGCACCTCAATATTAATATGTTTTGTGTGCACTCTCCACAACCATGAGAGTTGTGGCTCCATTAAATATGCTAATGTAGCAAAAGGGATGTGATAAAATCCATGTTGATTGTTCTGTCATCAAAGCAACCCCAGAGTCAAACACAGACTGCATGAGCCTTTTAAGGCTTTTAATCACTTCAGTTCAAACTCAGGAATAGGTGCTTGTGCAGTTTTTGCTACATTTAAGTAGATTTTTACTTAAATCTACCTACTCAGCATTTTATAATCATTTCCTTAACTGCCTGCCTTCAGTCATCTGCACAGGGAGGGGTATAACAATCTCTAGCCAGCAGACAATAAGTAAATTCTAAACTTCTCTGGATCTAATCTGTGAAAGGATTTAGTTTTCTGTTCTTTTATCTATTACCTGCACAGGCTGCATGAAGTGAACATGGAGCACACAGAGCAGTTGTATTTGTGCTTTAATGAGACCTATATGCAGCTGCATTTGGCCAAAATTAGCTGTTCCTTTTTTTAATTAGGGCTATAAAATGAAAGTATATTATACTTGTGTTTTGATAGAAATATATATTTTCTCTCTCTGTGTGCACCAAGGGACCCTGAGGGCTACAGAGATTAATCATCGAGTTTAATTTAATGCAGTGGGAGAGAGACCTGTGTGGTCAGGCGGGCATTAAAAAGTGCCTTTGATGTGCCTCAGGTGCACTGAGCCCCAGTGAGCCAGCAACAATAATACCTTTGTGAGATGATCAGAGAGGAGAGAGGGAGAAAATGGCCTGTGTGGAAACTCAAGGCTGTCCTTTGTTGTGGTTCTGGCAAACGAAGGAGCCAACTGTCAGGAGAAATTCAGCAAACAGAAAGCAGGGGGAAAGTACGGCTGGGTTTCTTTCAAGGGGCCATAACAGGAAACTGTTCAAAATCATCTGCAATGCCTTTCTTTTCCACCCCTTCCTCCTCCTCTGGTCAGGGCAGGGGGACTGCTCTTGGTATCTGTGTGTTGGTACAGTAGTTCCATTCTCTAGACCAAGTACTCCATGAGTCACAGGAGCAGGTAATGCTTGAACACAGCATTTACTTTAAACTTTCAGAGAAACTGCTCCTCGACCCAGTTTTCATTACCTCCAGGACTTATGAGATCTTAGACAAAAGACTTGGCTAATCATGCCTTTGATATTTTAGAAAGTACAAATGTGGAACCTAATTTTACTCATGGCTATAATAGTTTAATTTGTGGTAGAACTACCATTTTAAAGTGAGGATGCGCTTTTGGAATTAACCACTGACAGTTTGGGGTAATCAGACACACACAAAGAATTTTGTGTTCCTGTTGAATAGCTCATGACAGCAGCAAAATGCATGTTGTAATGAGGTTATTGACCCCAGCCCAGGTCTGAGCTGTTGGTTGCTGGAAGTCACTGCCACCTCAGGGCTCATCCATTATCCATGAGGAAAAAGAAAAGAAAAGATGGTTTTCTGAATATTTTTGGACAGTTATGCATTTTACATGATTCTCTGCTGCCTCCTTTGCCCTAGCAAAAGACATGGGTAGAATTTGCATTTGGAATGGTAAATAAGCTGCTCTTTCACTTGTGCAGGATTGTCCCTTGTTTTGGGGGTGGAATTCATCCCTGCAGGTTTGGTCTCTGTGCCCAAGAGTATTCCCTGACTTTCCTGGGTGGGCTGCCACTGCCATCGTGCTTTGCAGGCAGGGGCTCTGAGCTCCAGCACCCACACTTGGCTTTGGAACTTTCAGGAGCCTTTCCTTGTGTAGCCATGGTGACTACACAAAATGTGTGAGTAGTTTTTCCCAGCAAAATCACAGCAGGTTTGAGGCCCTGAAACAGGAACTTGCCTGTTATTCCTAACTTGTAGTTTGCATGGGTCTAACAGACATGCCCTAATTTCTGGGAATAAGGTAGTTGCTTTCCCTAAAAGCCTGTCTTCCTGCCAGTGTCTTAGGGTTTTATGGGGTATTTTAAAGGTTTCAAAAATCCTTTTTCTTCTGAAACCTCTATGTGATCAGGTGATTTTCAGGCACAGATTTCTGTATTCCCATGTCCCAGTCCTGGACACAAGTGTGCTTTTGCAGGGAAACGTTGTGCCACCGTGAAAATATTTGTTGTTCTTGCCCCAACACCTTTTGTGATTTCCAGCTGAAGAAAGTAGGCAGGGCAGCTTCTAATGGGAACATGGTCTGGCCTAATTTTAGCTTATTAATGGGGAAAGTCTGAATCTGCTGGTATTTTGAGTCCCAAATTAACAAGGTTTGTGTTCTGTTCTCTCCAGAGTCTCTGATTTTTTTTATTTTTTTTTCTGTCTTCATTTGGTGGTGTGGACTGTGCTCTTCTTCAGTCATTGGTTCTTTACCAATTCTGTGTACTCAACACCTCTTTTTGGGGCTTGTCAAGGAATCCCTTCAAATGTAGGTGCAATTTCTTCTTTTGCATCTGTTTTTGTTACTTCTGTGACTTGGTATTGGGAATGGACTCACCTGGCTTGGTGCACAGTTCTTTTTTCCCTAGGTGATATTGTGCATGTGGTTTGAACTGTATAATTTAGTCATTTTTTACAACTGGAGAAACAGAAGTAATTTATCTTCTACCTTTTCAGATTTAATGCATGATCTAAAAGACAGAGCAACTACATGAACAGCAAAATGAGCAGATGGTTTTGCTGTCCCAATGTTTACTATGGATTATTTCAGAAAGAATATCCCATACTTTCTCTCACTAAGCCTGACTAGCCTTTGAGCCGTTTTCTGCTAAAGGAACTCAAGCCCAATTTGCTTATTCTAAATTTGTTCATTTGATTCTCGTGATGACTGGCAAACACAATAGAGCTTCTTTGCTCCACAATATCCTCCCGAGCTGCCAGCTTTGTTCACACAAATAGAGTGTTAAGCACGTTTCCACCCCCAGAGCATGCACAGTACGTGTCCTTTGCAGTACATCCTGGAGAGGAGACAGCAGAGACATGCTGGCTCAAAGTGTTCTCGGAGCCTGATCTCTAATCTCAGTGGGAGCCAGACCAGCAAGTGGATTCAGTATATTTTGGCTCTGATACCAGAGTCTCCTCTTCAGAACATGCCACGTTGTTAAAGCAGCAGCCTTTGGAGTAATCGCTGGGCCAGGGACTCCTCAGCTCCGTGCGCTGAGGGGAAAGCAGGGCTGAGCAGGCAGTGCCCGATCTGAGCTCTGTGAGATCCAGCGGGATCTGAGCTCTGTGGGATCCAGAGGGATCTGAGCTCTGTGGGATCCAGAGGGATCTGAGCTCTGTGGGATCCAGAGGGATCTGAGCTCTGTGAGATCCAGAGGGATCTGAGCTCTGTGAGATCCAGCGGGATCTGAGCTCTGTGGGATCCAGAGGGATCTGAGCTCTGTGAGATCCAGAGGGATCTGAGCTCTGTGGGATCCAGAGGGATCTGAGCTCTGTGGGATCCAGAGGGATCGGAGCTCTGTGGGATCCAGAGGGA